CCCCACTAAAAACTCTAACGACCAGAACGTTGCGGGCCTCAGAAGTGAAAACGCGTTAAGCCATTGTGGACGAGCATTCTAGTTCTAGTCTTTCGACAATGCTTGAAGATGCGTTGCTTCGGGACACTCTAAAAAGTATGAAACGTAACTTTGTGGTTCACACATGTTTTTAAATTCAGCTTTCGTTATCTGAAACTTAAAGAGGCAGGGTCGTATATTATGCTAACTGATGTTTCCAACTAACGCTTGATTGTTTCAAATGTACGTGTACTTCAGCATTGCCTTTGGTCTTCCGTTGATCGGACGAATGTGTCTACTAGGTTCTTACAGTTAAAGAGTTAAACAGCTGGTCAGAGGAACTTCTCCTGGCGTATCTATGTGATATTCTGAAGGCTAACCGTGTCTAGACGCCCGAGAAGCGCAGTCTTCTCGTGTTACACACTTGGTGTAAGGCACAATATTGTTGGTTTTTTTGTTGTTGTTGCTGTAGTTGCGATTTTCATAAAATGGATTAATTTTGGGGTTTTTTCTTCGTTTTGCATATTCCATACGCGTGTTTTAGATTTGTCATTCAAGGGGTCAGTTCTGATGTCTTTGTGGTGGTCGTTATGCTGTTTCCTTCACCCATTTCGTCAATTTCGTAGGAGAGCTTTTTTTCTGGTAAGTGTTTTATGGCGCTCGCAACTGCATATGGTCATATGAGCGCGCGAGGCACAACAAATATTGTCAGTTTGTAGGAAATTTTGAATTTTGCCAAGGCGGCGGCCGAAGCCTACTCTTATCGATTTTTAGATCACCAAGGGATCTTTAACGTGCGCAACTTGCACACGGGGCCTCCGAGATTTTTCGCACTTGTTCGTGAAGGCTAGGTGTCGATCTTTCCTACCGTAAGACCAGGGGTGTGGCTGAAAGACAGCAGTGAGAAGGAGCCAAGGAGTAGCAGTAGAAAGGTTGCAGAAAGAGCCAGGGGCCCAGAAGAGAGGGCCAAGGAGGCGGGGGAGGGGGGGGGCAGAAAAGGGAGAAGAAAGCAGACTTTAGAACATTGCTTGATAGCAGTAAAAGAGAAAGGATACAATCTTTAGATAAGAAAAATTTCCGTCGCTATCCGAATCCGAATTTGAACCCGGGACCTATTGAATGAGAGGCGATCACCTTAACCTCAAGGCCACCAGAGCCCCCATAGGCTAGTTTATTAAGGTATACTTGTTGATGACTCAAAAAGTAACGCAAAAGTTCTTTCAGGTGTCTTTTTTTCGCCGCTATCTTACAAAGAGGTAAGTGGTTGGAGGGTGCACTGCCTCACCCTTTCCTTGCACCAACCATTATTGTATCTTGTGCTTCTCCTTGCCAGAACAAATAAACACTCACAATAAGGTAGGTTTAAACAAATTTTGTATTATTTTGACCCAAAAAAATATTTTTTGACTCTATAATATCTACTTAAGTACCCAAACTAACCTGGGAATTTAAGTGGTCCTGCCCTATTAAAAAATACGTTGTGGAAATTCCTCACATCATCACCATCATCTCCTTTATTACGCTGTATCAAGGCAAAGGCCACCGATAAACACTTTCCACTTTGTTTTTGTATTTAGGGCTAATTTCTTGACATAATTCCAATCCTTTCCACATGTGTGTACACCGTTCTCTACCGGACTCGTAATCGTGAGATTGCGGGTTCGGGGGTTCGAGCCTCAGCTCGGTCCGACGTTATGTTCTTGGGAAACTTCCCACTTGGCTCCGTCCAATCGGAGACAGACGTTAAAATAGGAGGTCCCGCCCCTTAAATAACCTAATAGTGTTAATAGGGGCGTTAAACCCATACCATTTACACCGTTCACAGTGACTAATCTGCTCCTAATTAACCTGTCTCTTTTGTCCAGTCTCACGAGCCTGGCATGGGCGACTGGACCTGGAAGTATGACGGCGACACTCACGTGGGTCACGTGACCAACGGTATCTACACCATCTGCTCCAAGCGGTACAAGGAGGAGCTGGGTCTCACGGGGGAGAGGATGAGGGACAGCTGTGAGGAAACCAGGCTTATCCGAACGTGTGTGAAGAAATTCGGGTGAGTACAGGGAGGGATGGAGGGAGGGAGAGATATGTAGATAGATAGATAAATAGATAGATAGATAGATAGATAGATAGATAGATAGATAGATAGATAGATAGATAGACAGATAGATAGATAGATAGATTGGGTGGGGGAGAAGCGGGAGATAAGGGAAAGCTGTGAGAAGAAAGGGCCAATTAGGACACGACAGTTGCAGCCATTCGGCGTTAATTGAAAACAAATACAAAGCAAAACAAAACTGAAGGGAGGGTTTGTAAGAAACAGAAAGGTTTATCTTTTTTACCTGCAACCATCGGAGAGGAAACAGGAGAAGAAGGAGGAGAGGAGAAGACCAGGACACAGTGAAGTGCGGAAGATCAGAAGAAAAAAGAGAGGAGACGGCGAGGAGAAGGGAAGCTAGTTAAAAGGAGAAGTAGGAGAAAATACTGCGAGGAGAAGGTTAGAAGAAAAGGAGGATAGAATGGAGGAGAAAAGGGGCAAGGAGAAGGAGAAAAGAGGAAGAGGAGAAGAAGGACGAGAAGAGGAGGATGAGGAAAAGGGGATGAGGAAAAGGGGATGAAAGGAGGCAAGAAGAGGACTAACAAACAGTAGAGGAGAAGGGGAGTGAAAGGTGAAAAGGAAGAGGAAGAAGTGGATAAGAAGGAGGAAGATGAGGACAAGAAGGAGGAGAAAAAGAAGAGAGGACGAGAGATGAGAGGAAGATGAGGGCAGCTGCAGCCAACTGTTGTTATCATTACCAAAGTTTTTTCTTTTATTCTTCTGATATTGTTTCAATCATCATAATTCCTCTGTTACTGTTGCCGCTATCTTACTGTAGACGTTAAAGTTATGTGGTTATCTGGAATGCTTTGGGCTAAACTGCAGATGGCATTTATAAAGATTTGAACTGAAAGGAGAATCGGTTTTAGTATTTGTTGCAGCTAAGTGGGTGCGACGTGTTAACAATGCATTACTTTGAAATGAAAATCAAGTTGACGTTGATATTATATTACACCCTGTGTGCTTTTGATGGGTGTAGGGCAACCGTGTAGCAGACACCTCAAATAAGATCAGTTGTGCCGCCTGTTGGTCGTGCCATATCATGATATAATCTACTCACTCGCGTGTATGTGATATCGTAACGAGGAAAAAAAGATAATACAAAATGTTTGTTTTTTGTTTTGTTTTTTGCGTGTGTGTGTTTGTGTGTGTGTGTTTTTTTTTAAATTTATTTATTTATTTATTT